TGTTAAGTGTTTGCGATGGAGTTGATCAGTTGACTCCAGTCTCGTGGATAAATTCGCAACGCTGGTCTTGCAAGCTGCAACTGACTTCTACCACAAGTCTACTTCTTCAGGGCTTCCAACAGGATAAGGTATATTTTCTCGCAATTTATTTAACGCGCATTGAGTGTCAGTAAACAAAATAGCTTTCTCTGGTACGCCACGTCCCCGTTCTCTCCCTCTCGCTATGTAGAACCATGCCTCATCTCCAATGTCCCACTAGTCATAGACCCTTCCTTCATTCCTCCCCTTCCCTCATCATTCTTAACCTACAGGTACCTAGAGATCATTAACTCCCTTCGGTAATCTCAGCATCCCAGTTCCCCGCTTCCTTATCCCTCATCATTTCTTCCTTTTCCCCCCTTACGCCTTCTCCTTGCAATATTCGGCCCCGGCAGCACCCGATGAACTTGTCGGACTCGGCGACGCGCTCGTGATAGTAGTCCTCCCATCACCCCCCGTCATTACCGTCAACCTATCTCCCAAGCTAACAATAGGATGCATCACCACCGTCGTCTTCGTCGTCGTCGTCGTCATCGTCGAGTCATTCAAGCCAGACTGAGATCTTTAACTCTGACTCTGTCCCATCCCCTGGATATGTCCCAGCATCTGCCCCACATTCTGCCCCTGTCCAACCACCTGACTCTTCGTACCACTACTACCACTGCTGACGGGGATAGAAACCACCGCGGTAGCAGTAGCAGTCGGCAGTGTCACGGTGTCGTCACCGGTAACGGGGATGATTTCCAGCGGATCATCATCGGTGCTCGAGGACTTGGTTGAGGACTTGCTCCTAGAGCTAGCCATAGGACGAGGAGGAAGCGGAGGCAGCGAGGGTAGGGAAGCGGGGATGGTGTAAGTGTTGTAGTTAACTAGATCTGTTGTGGGGCCGGTGACGGGGATGATGATTAGGGGGTCTGTGTCTGTGTCTGTTGATGTCGTGCTTCCCCTGGTTGAACTACTGTTGGTAGTAGTGATGGGGATGCTTCTCCTGGTTGACGTACTACTGGTTGTACGACTGGTTGTACAAGTTAAAATAGGGGAAGAAGCCGACGAGCTCGCAGATCCCGACGAGATTGTAAAAGTTACGCTGTTAGTCGCAGAAGCAGAAGCGGGACCCCTACTTCCAGTCCTCGTGGTACTAGTAACCATGGTCTTAGGCACACACTTCCCATTAACCGCCACGACTGCTGTGCCTGTACACTCCCCCTTTGGCCAGGACTGATTCGGTGGTGTAGGCCCGGCAGGTTTGTGGGTGTGGGTAACTGTTTTGGTAGAGGTAACTGTAGGGGTAATAACAACAGTCACCACCTGCGTCTGTTGAGCAACAGTAGCCCAAACCGTCGCCGTCCTTGTTTGATCTGTACCCGATGTGATAGTCGTGCTCTCGGTGACGGGGATGATAACCAGGGGGTCGGTATCTGTAGATGTACCAGCAGAGGTGACGATGGTCGGGATAATCCCGTGAAGAAGCGAAGGAGTCAAGTGCGTCGAGTGTCTACCGCTGCTAATGCTTGCTTCAGCGGATGCAATGCTTTGCGCAATTTCCGAGAAATTAATCGGCCCTTGGGCGTTGGGGTTGCCCTCGTGCGGGTGGGAAGCTGCGATGGATGCGAGGGGGACGAGGGTTAGGAGCACCTTCCTGTCGAAATAAAGGGTGGTGTTGTGGGTCGACATTTTGCTGTCTTGGGGGCTAATTAGGGCAGCCTTGAGAAAATCGTTCTTTGTCGAATTGGGTTTTTGTTGGGTTGTGGTGCTTGGTGGTTAGATTGGTAAAGGAGGAGGAAGTGCAGCTTTTTCCTTTGTCGAATGATGTTTATATCATTTTGGAGGGTGGAATAAATTGACCTCAAAGGGTGAATGGCAAGATCCAAAGGGAATTCACTGACGAAACCTTTGTAATCCTGGGGTTTGTGAAGAGGAGCGTGGATCAAGGCACTTGCCAGCGTTATTTAGAATCAATCATCATGTTTGACTCCATATCTTCATCCGAGGTGTTGTTGGCCACAGAACCTTTGCTAATGACACACCTGATGGCTGTGCAGGAAGCGTCAGGCGATCTATTGCCCTTCACCAAGGTCCAAGCGTAAAGGATGCACACCGGTATCATGGACAATAGTCCAGACAAATGTGTCATTGAAGAGACTGCGTGAAGGTTCGCTAGTCCTTAGTACTCAAGGTCTCAGGCCAGAGATGGATCAGTTGGTGCCCAAGGGAATAGAGATAAAGGGCATATGGGACACCAGAATGATACGACAAGCTTCTTGGAAGGAGGGAATGTCATGGCCCATTGACACAGTGGCCGTCATAGCATGTTCATTTCAGCATCGCCATAAAGCTATTCATATACAAAGAAGTTTTCGACCAATGGGACCCTTCACACTGGCCAAAGTCGGCAAGTCTTCAGATCCCAGGCCATCATCGTCACCACCTATCCCTTCACCCACTTACCCGGCACCCCTAACTTAGAGGCACTGAGAGTACCACTGGTTAGCAGCCTGGCAAGTCGACCCAGACTGGCAGCAAGTCGCGCCGGTCCAGCCCTGTCCACCGCACTGGCCCCACTTGGCCGCGCAGTTCCCTGTGCTGGGTTGAGTAGGGGTGGAAGGGTTGGTAGGGTTGGTAGGAGTACTTCCGCCGTCACCACCGCTGCTGCTGAGCTTGGATTTGACGAAAGCGAGGGCCTGCTGGCCGTACTTGGAGCCGTAACCCTGGTGAGTGGCTTGGTCGTTGCCCGTGCAGCAGTACGGGTCGGGTGAGTCACAGTAGTTCTGGAGCTTGGAGGCCGAGGCGCAGGTGTAGCCGGCAGGGCGGGAGGCGAACTGTGAGGGAAAAGGGTTAGTATGGGTTGTTGGACCCAGTAATGATGGGGATTGGAGCAAGAGGAACGACATACGCCATAAGCAGTGCAAGTTCCCACGTTGTAAGAGAGGCCGGTGCGGTAACGGGGGTTGCCCATCATGATGACGGCCTTGACCTGGTTAAGTGCGCTGGCATTGATGCCGGGGGTGCTGCTAGTGATGCCGGAGCCGCTATCGGGTCCACCGCAAACGGCGTTGTCCATGATTTGACCGCCCTGTTGATCGAATGGGTTAGTATTTGCTGCACAAAAAAGGATTCGGAAGAAGTGATCGCCTGAATGTACCTGAGAATATCCGACAAGGACAATCTGAGTGTTGGGGCAGCGAGCATTGAGGTTGTTCACAGCCGTTGCGACGGCGTTGGTGCCCGTTCTGGCCGAGTCACCATATTGGATGCCGCCGCAAGAAGACTGACCACCGCAAGCCGGGTAGGTGATGGCCTCGGAGGTGGCACCGGGATAGGCCTGAAGGATCAGGTTGACAACGACGCCAGCGGTTCCGTAACCCGGAGAGACCGTGGTCTCACGAGCACCGAAGACGTGGATGGAAGGGCATGACTGACGCTCCTCAAGCTCGATAGGGGACGCGCCGACAACAGCCGAGCGGGCCAAGAGGAGGAGGTAGGCAGCTTTGGGAGAGGGCCACATCTTGAATATTTGGTGATGGTGATGAAGTTGCAGTAGATCTATGTCTGGGCTTGTCGATCTGTCTGTCTGTCTGAAAGGAAGGCGGATGGTGCGTAGTTATACTCGGCGGTCAGACCAGTGGCCAGACATTATTGAGACATCTAAGCATGGAAGATGTTGGCGATGTCACCGTTGTTACGGAGGCCATGTCGCCGCTCATTGTCCAGGTATCATTCGCATTCCGTTCCTCCGCAACCAGGCCAATGGTAGCATGACTAGTACCATATCCAGCTACTGACCTCCCCAGACCAAGGTTTGGACGTAATGGGGCGGTGGCTATTGCATGAAAATAGTAAAGCTCGGAGGTCCTTTGTGGTTCTGCTTTCGAGTGTCGCGAACGGTCAATCGGGTAAAGCTGGGCTCGCCAACTTGCCAAGTATCATGGGGCAGCATTGTTCGAGGAGCCTCCGTCGAATCCTGGTTTCTGGAATGTTTCTCTCGCTTGGTCGGGTATCTCGTTCTCGGGTAAGCTAGCCCTGTCCAAAGTTCATGCATGTTGGCATTGCTTGGGGTCCTGTCAATCTGGGGATGCTTGGGTTGCATTTGTCTTTTGAACCGGCATTGGATAAATTGACAAGTACGTGACCACGCGTCAGTGGCCCATTTCCCCAGATTCGGCGATCGTAGCCACCCTGAATTGCGGCCATCTTGTGTCCGGTCAACACGCAGCTAGCTCGGAGCATCGTGGTGTTGTTGAGGTCTTGGTCGCATTTTGCGGGGGAAGGGATCGGGAACGAAGAAGAAGAAGGCTTATGCGGCAGGCGAGATCCGAGCACGAGGAATTTAGGCTCAATTGACCCAGCCTCCACTTCCAATGCAACCTTGAACCAGGAAGGATAGACGTTTCGACGTTTCAGGACGCGGACGTGTTTCCGCTTCTCGAAAAGGAATCGTCGGTGATGGAGGGCAAGTCGAAGCTTGATCATAGTTGGCGTCTCGGGGTCAGGTGGTTTGGCTACCATGGTCAGGCAAGCAACCGCAACCAGGGCGTGGCCGAGCAGTTGTGAAACAGCATTTTCTGGTCTTTGTTGAAGGTGCTGAACTGTTTGCGCCGTCAGAAATCTTCCACCATTGCTGGATTGTTTTGTGCAACCTGGGCATCTCTTACCTGAAATTGGGAATGTCAAGGCTAATGTTGTCTTTGTCGTAGTCAGCTTTGCCGTCTATTCTTTCCAATTCCCAGCTGGAAGTCCGATCAGCTGCTCCAATGGGTCATAGCGGCGTACAGCCAGGGGCAGACGCGCATTCACGTGCTACCCTGAGCTGCTACAGCGGCGTGGTTACCTAATTGCAAGCGCACGGCAAGCGGCAAGCGCACGGCAAGCGGCAACCACCAGCAGTTAAAGGCAGGTCCCACTGTCAACGACATCCCGTCGTACCTGACATTTGAAGTCGGGGACAATTCCACTTTCCTTTCAAACAACTTGTCCCACTGCATTTTTCTGAACTTTAACATCGCCGGTTCTCCCTTACCTGAAAAGGTGATTGCCTCACCACTGTTCCCATCACCCCCGCCCTTTGCCCCTTACGCTGTCCTGGCCAGTGGTCAAGGGTTGCGGGCGGTTGTTTTTGGCGTTTACCTAAGTATTTGATTAGGGCCTTCTTGTACGCGACATACACGAAAAGCACCAAGAAAAGGTATGTATATGACCCATTGCTTGTCAATCAACCACCTGTTGAGTCTCGAGCATCAAGCTAACACGCCAAAGTTGACCGCTGTCTCCATTTTCGCCCAACATCTCCGCGCAGTCTTCCGATTACCTGCCCCGGCCGAGCTCCTGGGCCCGGACATGACTGGGAAATCATAATGATGGCTATAAGAAGCTTCTTCTCCGACCAAAGCTTCGTCTGCCTGAAATGGCCTATACCACCGCCCACGTGTTGTTCAAAATCCACGTTGACATTCTGAGTGAGCGCGCCTTTGCCTTGGCAGATATCGATGAGTATGTGCCAGACATCCTATTTCCCCATCGTGCGTACAAGTAAGAGCGTTCATGAACATTTCGCTCCCTGTTTCGATGTTGAAGGCTCTTTCACTGAGCTTGCAAGTTCTTTCTTCGATCATCTCCCTAACAGAGACCTGAGCGAAGATGAAAATGAGATTCTGGATTCCTCTCAATCTCTCGTATGAAAATCACCATGATTTTCCCGGTGGTCAGACACGGATACACACTTCCTTCTCAGTCTTTTACATGATATTTCACGCGGGTATTGGACTGTCCATATTTGGTTCAATCTTGCGATCGCTTCGCTCAGGAAAGAGACTAAACTCCCATGCTGAGAATTTGGCAAAGGGGAGCCAGCCACAGTGTGTCAAAAAAAAGTCCTTTTTTTACCGAAAACCTTGCTCCGCACCCGACACGTTTCGCTGCTTGGTTGATTTCCAGAACTGCGAACTTGCCTCCTAACAGGCGAAGCGGGAGATCCATTGCGGAGGGCAATGACGGGGATGGGATACAAATGGTGGGTTTCTGCCTTGTGATCTCCGCCCTGGCTGAGCCTGGAATCCTCTCTAAAACGACCACTTTTGGGGACCATTCAGTCGTGGTGTCTTCGCCTGGTTCATTATTTTTCTCTTCCGGAACTGTCACCTTTGAGAATCTCAACCGGCGACTGCACTCCGCCCATAAAGCTTTCATTAATGCGATTGGATGGCTGACATGCATGGCGTACCGGCCCGTGATGCGGTGCAACTCATTGGTGCCAACACATTTGGAGGCAGCAAGCTTGAGGCAGTCACATCCAATGAAAGTTAAGCATTTTGGAGGCAGTACTTAACTCCCATCCGGAGTGGTGCATCATGCATGCACATGCCTCCAATACGTATGCGTCCCATCGTGTGGTAAGGCATTCGGTGTCCAACGCCTCCTCAACAGACCAGGACAAAGACAATCTCGACAAGCGAAAGGTTACATAAAGTGCGGTAGGCCTCGTCTTTGTCATTGAGCAGAAGACCTTCTATCATATCACAACTGTCTCGGCCTACAGCATTACCCGGCCGTGGAAGAGTCCTTGGCGTACTTGCTTCTGGAAACCAACGGTGAGCTTCCTGACTCCGCATGCCTCCATCCCACCCATCGACATGTTCACCGACATCCGCTAACAACACTCTTCTTCTTTTTCTAGAGCCGCCGACTCAATAGAGTCACTCTAATCTCAGGCGCACTGGCGCCGGCGGGGCGTTCCAACCCCGTCAGCTCGCACCATCTCCCAGAACTACCGCCACTACAATTGCTACAACCAACAACATCAACCACTCACATACCCATACCCCCTTCCACATATCCCACAAATCTCCAGTATCCAACAAAATGATCATCCACCTGTCAACCTCTCAGTCTCCCCCAGGACGTGGTCTCCCGCGCGCTCAACCGCGGGACCACAACTCAGTCGTGGGGATAGAGTGTGCGATAGACATGGCGTGGATTATCATGGCGAGTTTCCTAACGAAGCCCCCTCCCATCCCTCCACATACTCGAGTCCCCGTGCAATTGTTGGGTTTGCACTGGGGCAAGAGTGTGTGGAGGGATGGGAGGGGGCTTCGCCAGGGAATTGGCCCTTGGAATTGGGAATGGGAGAGGAAGAGGGAGTCGGAGGAGGATTCAACCTTGCCTATGGTAATTTTGGATTCGAGCCTCAGGAACATATCACATCTTTTGATATTTATCACCAACCGGTACTTCCGCCAGTGGTCCTGTGTCTCAACAATGACGCCGGGACTGCTACTCCCTCCCAAGGTCAACTACAGTCCCTTCAGCCAGACTCAAACACCTTGTCCACAGACGCAACATCCACGACTCAGATATTTCCGGGTGTATCTGTGCCGAATGAGTTCGACAATAGTATGTTTGTCGACGAACACTACGCAGACTCAGCCTACCTCCAGACATCATTTCTCCAGACCGACGATCCATCAGCTTACATGACTGAACCCGTCCTTGCTCATTGGCCGCTTGGTGACTTGCCATCTGGTCCAAACCACATTTTGACGTCGGAAAACAACATCACTCATTCCACTCCCAGTTTTACCAATACCTCTTGGTTCGCAACCCCAGCTGGAACTTTTGGGACGTCTTCACTATCAAACACCATGGTCTCGGCCGAAAACATGCCTGAAAGCTCGGCAACCTGGCCTATAGCCTCAACAAATACTGGATTGGATAGATACCGGTGCAACTATCGAGGCTGCAAGTCCAAACACACCTGGGCCACGCGTGCAGAGCTGAAGTAAGTGCTATCTTCATCTTACGCCACTCATCCAGTGTCAGTTTGAAACCATTGGACATGCCGAATCGGATCTAAAAATTTGACGAGTTACTTCTCTGTCCCCGCGAGCAACATCGTAGTCACTGACATCACTGACTATTGCAGACGGCATATCCGGTACCACGAGAAACCACATGGATGCATCACCCCAAATTGTGAAAGAGCCTTCACGAACAAAAGTGATCTACGCCGGCACATACAAGACCGACACATGACGACAACACACCAAGAGTCCGGAGAGGTTAAAAGGTTTCTTTGCCGTCACGCGGGGTGCAAAAGGAAGTATAAGCGCCATGACAATATGCTCAAGCACTCGAGGAAACACGAAGAGGATGCATCTCGGAGAAGACAGCGAAGGGGATCAAAAGGCTAGGGAACTCTGCTTCTGCAATTTGCGTACCCGGCGGAAGAGTGTCAGTGATTGGTAGCAGCAGGGCAATGCGTGGTAGATCAGCTGAACACAGCGAATGGCATACACCATTTCCATAACCTCTTGCGCTTGAGAATAGTGAATGTGAAGTATTTCCCGTTTTCTCTATTTTGAACGTGTGATGTTCTCTCAGCTTCAGAGATCGAACAACCCGAGGATCCACGGATATATCACCCTTTCCCACAGGTATCACATGGGGCCATTGGAAATAGTTCTCGAAATGCAACTGTGGTGTGTTGTCACGTGCGATGAGAAAGAAGGTCATGTAATTAAACCAAGTGCCAATCTTAGACGGGTCGCTTACTGGGTCCCTCTGGGACTCAACCATCAGCTATCTACAGGAATTGTCCGTCCAACTGTGCGAATCCATTGACTCTTTCATGCTCGCATGTGCCCTCCGCAAGGGAGCCCGACAGTAAGCATTCCAAGCATACACTAGTTTGGAGTTCAGTCCACCCTGGAAGCTTGTAACAAATCAGTTCTGAGGAAGGTAGGGTCTGTCTGTGGTGGACCGTGGTGTTGTTATAGCCTACACCTGTGGTTGTACGACAGTTACCCCTTTGGAATGCCATTTCGAGGTTTGCAATCGTTTGCAATGCCTTGATCATCTCCAAGATCGAATGGTTTTGCCCTGAAGGACAGTCAAATTTCCCGACAAAAGCCTTTGATATTTCGTTAAGGTACTCGTTGGCGCCACAATTTGAAACACAATCGCGCTTTGTTGTGACTATCTTCTGTACAGCAGCGAGAAGCCGCATTCGAAGATAGGAAGATCGCTCCGAGAAAATAGCTAAACGTTTGCCAATCGGTTAGTAGAGGAATCCAATACTCTTCCCAGAGTGTCTTTGAGGGATGTTCTCAGAACTATACATACTCAACAGCGCCGGAGGTAGCGTTTCCATAAGCAGGTTGTCCCCGTAGAAACTAAGATAACTGCCGGTGTGGCTGATCATGACCAGCCAAGTAAGCTTCGGGAAGAATTCGTTTCTCTTCAACAACTCCGCAGCTGCAACGAGATACATCAGGTCGGTTGAGCTTCGGTGAAATGTCACCTGTCGAAACCACCTTTCGGTAACCAATTGCATTGCGGTTCCCATGTCGTACTTGTCAATAACACGAACAGCCTGGAGGATATGTTTTCCATCCATATCAGCAAAGGGGATCATGTCGTTACGGTGGTGGAGCGCGTAGCAAATGGTTTTCATTGAGTCGGGGTCATCCTCGGGGAGATCAATGTTTATCGGAGATTCGGGCGAAAATGTGCGGCTGCTTTCGATCCAGCCGGGCGAGAACATGCGGTCGAAGACTTTGGAGGCCGATCGAAGAATTATGGACAAAACCCTGAGGCGTAGTTGTTTCTCGTCAGGAGAGCCGACGACGAGAATGATGTCACCCGTTGGCGAGACTTCGACGGTCTTCGAGTCGTCACCCATGTTTCCGGTTGCCTCACGGGCTCTTGACTAGGGGAAAGCGTGCGCGAAAGATTGGAAACTGCTGGAAGGAGTGATTGGATTTGGGAAGGAGGAGTCCGAGAAGAAGTCAAGTGGAAGGAGAAGGAGTTAGAACTTGCCTCCCTCACTCGAACTTTCCCTAACAATGCGGCCCGAGATGCAAACGCACCCTCCTTCGTAATGGGCTGAGCTTGCCTCGGCTGTCAACCCCACCTTCCTTGAGATGAGTGCATCACGCAAGCCACACAACTCGTTTGACTTGAGGCATGCTCATGGCTTGCAGGTCTGCATGTGAGTGGCTGACACCTAAATGCGCACTGGTGACTTCTGCGGGCCACCAAACTCCGACCTCTCAAAATTTTTGATGTGTTGGTTCAATTGGATCTTCCTCACACAACAGTTTCCAACCATCCTATTCACCACAATTGGCTGCGCATCAACATCCACCCATTCCCTTCCGTCCGTCCATTGATCTACTGTAGCAATCCCACGCTAGAGCTACTGCATCCAATGATAGCAAACAAATGTTGAGGCAGGCTCCGGATACCACCTGAAATGCTGCATCATGCATGCATCATATCACCCAACGAGCATGCCTCTCAGAATGCCTCCATGCCAAGAGGCGGGGATATCCAAAGGTACTCTCTCTAGTCACCCCAGAGTGAGTGACCGTCTGACAGCCCTGGAACGGATATATGAAGGGCGGTAGGCCTCGTTGGATTGATGTCCGTCTTCTTCGCGACACGATTCACTCGAGGGAACCTCTCGTCCATCCACCAGCTACTCCGGGAGCACTGATCTCTCCCCTTCCGGTAGGCACATCATCCTCAAATCCGCTCACACTTGATTGGAAACAGCGAGACCACCAAGACTGACCAACCTCTGAACCGCACAGGATTACATTCCCAATCAACACGAAGCGCACCGGTGGGGGCGCTATAACCCCCCACCAGGCACCAGAGCATTTGGCAATGTTACAGTGATCGAGCTAGCGGTTATTTGCCAAATCAACCGCCGAGCGGAAGATGCAGCGACAAGCTCTTGTTCACAGGGCCCTTGGGCTGTAGCTGCACCTTATCTTCGAGTGTTGGTTTGGCAAATAATCCTACTTTTGGTCAGCTGGGGGGAGGCGGCGGAGAAGGGAATGGAACAGCATGGTGGGATTTGGGACAGTGGAGTTCCCAGGTCAACGAGATCAACAACTACAACAACGACAACAACAACAACAACAACAACAGCTACGGCGACTATTTCGAGAGCCTCGCATTCGAAGTGGTGCCGCAATGCCTGCCTTACCAAACAAGCCAGGCCCACAATGGCCTTGGTTGGGAACATCACGACTCTAATCTTTCCCTTCAGCAGATAACCACACTGATTGGAAACGATTCCGACGTTTTCAGATGGGGATCGACTCATGCCACAACGCCGTTGATTCAAAATCTTCCACTCATGCAGCGGGACTTGACTTTGTCAACGGTTGTGGACATGCCGATGCAGCCATGGGACCTTCAGTACTTCCACAACTCCAGTCCGCCCATGGTTGAAGAGCAACTTGACGCGACACTCCAGCTTGGGCAAAACGAATGTGCCTTAATGAGCCCCTTTGGATCGCAAACCACCGGTAACACGAGCTTGGAACACACTCCGGACACGGCATGGCAAACAGGTACCGGAAGCAGCTCGTCAACAAGCCCAATCGGCTCGAACGGTGATCAGCTTATATGCGGCTATTCCAACTGCAACGCCACACGTCTAACCCAAAAGGCGCTCAAGTACGTTTCTTTCATCCTATTGCATTGCTCAATGAGGCACAAGTTCTAACATTGTTGTGCCATAACAGGATACACCAGAAGTGCCACGAGAAGAAGTACAAGTGCGACAAAGATGGGTGCCCGAGAGCATTCAGTGTACCAGCACACCTAGAACGGCACCGGAAGACACACCGTCGAGACTCGGAAGAGTCAGAAACATCTCGTTGTTCAGCTTGTCCAAAGACCTTCACTCGTGAGGACAACTTAAGACGACATATCCGGAAAAAACACCCTGCATTGATCAAGAAGATCAATGCGAAGGGCTCAAAGCAAAAGAATCAACATATTGGGTAATATGCCTAGGGGGTTTGCTTGAAGTTGCTGAACGCCCGTTGAACTGGGGCACATCCGGTACCGGGACTGGATTGTCCATCCACCCCCTTGCAGGAGAGGATTGGTCTCGGTGATTGCGGGAGCATGTTCCGACACCAGCTTCAGTTGTGGTCTGGATATTCGCTGCCCCAAGCACCGAAACTCTTCCTCACCTTCGAGAGTGGCTCTTCAACGAGCTTCAGGTTACATGAACTTTCAGCCAGCTGGCGATAGGCATACTGTGCTGGGGTGACCGTTGTGTTTGCTGACCCGTCAAGGCTTTTATCCCTTCCCGGCTCTGTAGACTGCGTCCAGGTTACCCCCAGCTTCGTCTCCTTTTTGTTATCTGATTGACGGGTGATTCAGCATGTTATGGCCCTGGACGTGTGTGTGGATTACAATGATACAGATGGGAAAATGAGACGATGGAGTAGCACTGGACGCAGGCTACAGAGTCGGGAGGGATAGAAGCTCAAATCCGGCAAACACAACGAAATTCTTATTTCCTTGTTAATGAAAGATGGAGGTGGAGGAATATGTGTGCTTGGGAGGTTCAAGTCGTCAAGGGTTGATCGTGCCATCTTCTCAATGCTTGGGGGGCAAGCCTTGACGCTCTGAATTCTTCAAGTGGGTATCTTTCTCGTGGTAGATAGCGATGCAATAGAAGGGGACATACTTACTCCCTTAATCTTCACCTGTAGTTTTGCTTTTGCGCCCGTTCTCTATCCGCTGGACATATTCCGCTGGAGTTCTGCGACCCATTGAATTCCTACTCAGTTAAGTATTGAGAGTAATCAGCTGATTCCATCATCCATATGGTACACATCGCATTCAAAATCCCCTCTTTGGCTACAACCTGTGGCATGTGTCCTGTTATGACTTCCATGATTCTTCTACTAAGATGCCGACGTCATCAAGTATGGCGTGCCCAGCCTTTCATGGATTTCTCGCGTCCTGTCAGAACCGAAGGATGCCCCGACTATCATATGTGAACATAGGCCGGGTAGGACCAGCAGCTCACTGGAAGGCGCCTTCCGAGCGAGAGGGAAGACAATTTTTACTCCAGGGAGACTACAGCACTTGGGCTTTGACATCGAGAATTACACGAACCGCCATTCAGGGAAGCGAAGAATGACTCCCCCTGCCCTTTTCAGGGATCAACAGGGCTCGTCATCGTCGCTTGGCTCGCTGTTCTTTCTTTTTTTTTTTTTTTTTCCTTCATCAAGCCTATTGTTCTTACATCAAGCGTAGCCAAGTGTTGGCCATCGTCCCTCAGTGACGTTAACGGGGCACTCCCTGATCCTTACAGTTTGTACTTTGCCGCCTTTTTCCCCTTCTTTTTCCAGCGCACAGCGAAGGTTCCTTTCGCCGTTTCCTACCGACGCTTCCGAGCATGATGAGGATTGCATTCCACTCACCAACATTACTCTTGAATGTTGAGCTATTTGGCTTGAAAGATCAAAAAAACTACTCCACTAAGCACATGAAGTAATTCATATAACAGAGGTGATTGGGGAGCAAGAACTCGGTGGAAGCATTGTAGGTTTGCTGGGAAGGCGGGGTATTTCGAAGAAAAGACATCAGAAGAAGAGGAAGCTCAAACATTGTCAACGAGGCTTATAACATAACAGACAAACGAACACTTTGACGGATTAAGCAGACAAGGAAATGGAGGTGCCGAATAAACAACCTTCGAGGGAGAAGAGTAAGAGAAAACTTGCCCTAACGAGAATCTTGTGATATGAGACAGGATGATGCTTTAGCGCTTGCTATTTCTGGTTCAAAACCTTCTCTAGCCTTCTGAACGGACCTACTTCGCGAACCCTGCGTGTGACACTGCAAATTCGTTCGTGAACTGGTCCCTTTACATTCTTTGCGTGTTACAGCTTCCTGACTGTTGATCGTTTAAACTCTGCCACAGTCGCTGGTCTGGTCATGTATCTTGGCTCTGTAACCACTGTGTTAACTTCCATGGGGATTACATCAGTACAGTTACTCGAATGAGCTGGGTCTCTGTGACCTCTCGATTGATAGTCGCTTGACTGGCGATCGCTTAGCAAGTCTGACGTGGTTGCAAAGAGCCATAACAAGCTTTCCGGCTATGCAACGCTGTTGCCAAGCGCAAAAAACGCCGTCCCCAGGCTGTTGGTTAAGTCGAACTCAGAAGTAGGGAATGTGACCAGACCACCTGCTATATAGAGTCACTGCCTGCGTCAGTCGCGATCGAACCATTGAGATTGCGACGGCGGATACGTTCGCGCGCGTTGTAGATGTGCTTCATCGTGTGTGCCGAGCCTGGAAACTTCCTCCGTATGATGTCGTTAATCGCGCGGGGAGTCATACCGTTCAGCTCGGCAGCCTCTTTAATCGCTTCAATAACTTCTGGTTTCAGCCTGCGGTGTGGAGTGGGTGCAGCAGGGTGTTGAGCCTGGCCATGGTTATGCTCTCGGTGTACCGCTTTGTCGTGCAAAAAGAAGTGCCAAAGACCGCCCGTCTTGTGTTTCCTGGCGACTGCCATCCACTTGCAACCACACTTGCGCGAAGGTGTCTTGCAAGACCTGACCATGGTTGCAGTGGATTCTTGCGGTTGGCCAAATCGATGGCAAAAGAGATGGTAGCTAATGTAATCTTTGGCTGGCGCTTTAGTCCTGGAGCAACGGCCTTGCCCACGGATCACGGCGAATCCATGATCGACCGCCCATGTGTTGATTGCTTCTTGAAGGCCTTCGATTGTTGTGGAGGGGGGTATGGCGCCAGAGGGTGAGTTGGAAATCTCATCTCCAGGATCAGAGGCATCATCATGCGCAGAGTTGGTCACGGGCTGGGGTGAAGGGTCGTGACTCGGGTGGGAATCAGGACCGCCGTCAGAGTCATCGGCGGAGTCGCTGAGTCCTTCCCATTTTTCGTAGACTTGGTCGGTTTGGTCGAGCTGGAGCAGCTGACTGCCCGTGAGCTCGATTTTGGCATCCAAAGCCCACGGAGGCATCTTCGAAGTCGTGTGCGCAATTCGCGCAAGTGATGCGAGGCTTCTTGTGATGGACAAGAGGAATCTGTTGATAATTAGCAAAGTACGCTGGTGACTGAGGTAATGGGCATCACTTCACGTACTTTGAAATTGATTTGACCCTCCTTTGATGGGAAATGATTTTGGTGTCAAGAGAAAGAAAAGGATGGAATTACAGTGGAGGGTTGAAAATGATCAAGGTAGGCACACCTTCGGACCTGCGTGTTACCGTGGGCGTTGCCGCACTAGGTGCACCTTCCTTCCATTCACTTGTCATGTCTCCATGTGGGTCCAGTCCACCAGCTTCTTTCCGGCATGCAAGTACAAAAGACCATCATGTGGCAGTCATCCCCGACCATATCGAAAATGTTGTTATCCCAGACCAGGCGGGGCATTTACTCTCCCCGTTTCTTCCTCTGGACACCCAGCCATTTCAGCCCATCATGCCCGACCTCAGCCCTCTTTCTTCTACAAGACGACTGCCCCGGTATTGCAGTAAGTCTGGGGTAACAGATACCTTGCCTGGCAGAAAGGGGCTACTGTTAACAAGGTCCGAAGAAGCTGATGAACTGTCCACTTCAAGATATCCTTCCTTTTCTCCGTGATTCAATGGCTTTCATCAATCATAAGCATGCATGTAGGGTCAAAGCAAATCTGGCACCAAACAAACGAATTCTTTCTCCTTGTCTCAAAACAAAGTAACAACTCCCCAAACTTCATGGCTTAGCGTTACCATCCGCCAGCATCTCTTCACTAAATCACCGTCAATGATAAACACCGTTCTCAACCGAAAGAGAGCCCTCGTCCATCCGCACGCAGTCAAAACAGATCTTCGCCTCCCTCTTGAACTTCTCCAGCTCCTCCTTGATAGCCGCCGGTCCCCACTCCCTCTCACCCATGCACTGGCACTCACCCGCCACACTAACCGCCTCCTGCTCAGCCAGCGGCTCAGCCGCTCCCAACACCTCGCTCAGGGGGACGGTGGCAATCCAGCCGAACTCGTCGTAGGCATTGACCCACGAGTTGTTGAGCTCAGGCCTTTCACCACAGACGCACCCGTCATCTTGGGCCCTCGAGCGAATGAGGTCCACGACACGCTTGTGCAGACGAGCCGCACGTCCCTCGATAAGGCCTAGGTAGGAAACAGATCAAAACGAGTTAGCTTCAAATTCAGCAAATCCCATGAAAGGACACTTCACATATAGCAGTTGAGAAGATTTGAAAATTACACCGAAACTTCATTGGCAGAACCTTCTGCACGACCGCATCTCTCTCGCAGAACCGAAAAAGGCTTCCAACTCCTCTTCCCTCGTACTTGACCATCAGGTCCAGACCAAGCTCCGCAAAAGCTTTTTTCTGGCCCAAGGCCCACGCAGCAGCAACCAGCCAGACCATCTCCTGGGCCGTTCCGTTCGGCCCTCTGACCATTTCTACAACCGCCATGAACCAGCGGGGCCACGGGACGAAGATGTTGTTTGCCAATTTGTACTTGGCAATAGCCACCTCGAGGTGGAGGAACTCTCTGGCATTTGGGCCAGGAGCAGGCGCAGAAGGGGCAGGCCGACGGATGAACTGGCTGGAAAAAGCGAGGACGTGGAAAATTGCTTTCATTGCGAAAGCGTCGTCATCTGGGAGAGCGATCTCCCGGGGAAGGGGCGGAGAAACAGAAGCAGAGCCAGGGTGGTGGTATGAAATGCCTTGCATTTCATTGGCGTATGGAGCCAGGAGTTCAGCGAAGACCGAAGAGGCTTCGCGAAGGCCGATGATGTCGACCGAGATTTTTTCTTCGAAGCCAGGCGGGCCGCCGACAAGGAAAACGAGGTTTGCACCTCTCGGTGCATCCTCTTCGGACGAACAGAAGAGCCGAGAGACGCGAGGGGAGAGTTGGAAGGCTGGGGAGGGAAGTTGGTGTTATCCATCTTGGATAATGTTGGGAAGGGACGGAAGATATATAGAGGTTGAGGTAGGTAGGCCGGGGTTTTTTGGATGAAATGTGTGTGTGTGTGTTGGTTCTTTTTGTATTGTTGCAAGTTTTGATCGAAACTTGAGAGATGTAGTCAAGTTGAAATAAAGTTTTGTTGAAAATGAAAAGTGTGCAGGCATTTGCAGTCAATGATCGAAACTTGGATGGAACTGTCTCCGACGATCGAAACGACAAAAAAGAATTTGAGCTCAACTCTAGCTGAAGAAGAAAGGAAAGAAAGATCGAAGAGGACGAAAGGGAACAAAGAAGGCGTTTTATACCTCTACTTCGAGGACTCGTAGAACCTCTTGTGTTGGCATACAATAGGGACGAAATCTATTGAGTTCATCTCTAACACATAGGCAGTAAGATTTAGGCTTGCTTCTTTCTGAGAGCTTAATGATGAACAGAACCCTGGCTCGACTACAATAAGAAGTATAACAGTAAACAGATATGAAGTGGCTTGCCTATGACAATGAAACACAGGCTCGATGTAAAGTTCAAGAGCAGTGGATATCAACAAAGTAATATATGCAAACGTTGCAGAGCTAGACTGAGAAGCTAATGACAAGGGTCTGAAACCATAGAGTACGAAACCTATCATCTGATCTATTCGGTCCCAGCTTGGTTTCAAGAACCGTAAATCCGCAATGATTGTAGACTTCAGATGGAAGTTATGAACTGGACTCATCGCATCACCCCTTTAGACTCGACATCCACATAGGTCAAGCGTCCTCCTTCTCTGAGGCGGTTGCCGCTCAGACGGTGCGCGCCCGCGCTGCCGATCTGCGCTGCGACATCCACACTCTCTGCCGCCGCATCTGCATGTTCCCGATGACTCCTGAGGAACTTGGCCGTCGCAGCACCCCGTGGATCGCTCGCTACAACTTCCGCCCTCAACCTGGCAGCGGCCCGCAGGTCGTCCATCCTCACATGCGTTCCCTTCATGGTCCTATTCCAATGCTCGGTGGTGTCGATGCCGAGCGTCATCACTCCCGAGCCCCTGACCCCGGCCGGCCCTGCCACCCTCGACGATGTCCTTCATGCGGTCAAGTGGGCTCGGTGCATACTGGTCTTCGTCGTCTGCTACCCTCCGCGGCTTCCCCCGCGGCTTCCCCCCAGCCCCACGCTTCCAATGCCCTGGTTGTCGCTGGCAATGCGCTGGTTCACTTTGGAGGTGTGGTACAGTAAGACAGGGCCTCATCACCAACCGTACCACTCCACCAAAGCAAAAAGCAAGCATCAGCCAAGCGGCGAAGCAACAATGGCTGCCACGGCCCAGCAGAACATAGACCATGTGATAACTATTGTCAAATTCTGCCTGGCACCGATGTGGCGCTGCTCACTGGCCGCCTCGACTTTGAGGCGTGGAATTTATGCCTGCGCGAGTATTTCAGTGGGAACGGCTTGACGTACATTCATCCAAAGTGCTCTCTTGAGCATCGCAATGATTTCCGAGAAGTCCTTTACGGCGAGGAGAAATTGGTGGGTGAAGGGCACGAGAATATACGGCAAAGCGGGGCTTCATGAGTCGCACACGTCAGGACCGAGGAAAATCACGGGCAAGTGGGAGCGTCAGGACCTCCCTCAAGCATTTATGTGTCTTCCGACACGGGGATGCGAGTTGGCGAGAACTTGTTGATATAAAGCCAGACGGGGGAGATGGCCTAACAGGTAGCGCACCGGACCATAATAGGTGTCGATGCAATAGATGGTCTCATGGTCCGGGACCAAGTCGAGTACCTCTAGATCGCAGGTAGGTGTAATCTTCGGCAGGGTTCTCGTAGTGGTCTTGTGATACCGCGAGTGGTCCCAGTATTGGGCAGGGCCCTCTCCCTATGTAGTAGCGAATGTAATGCCCGAGAGCCCCAATCTTGAGCTGTCTGTCGACGGGCTCCTACTCGTCCAAGTGGGCTAACAGGTCTTGAAGTTCTGGTGCCGGGAAGCGAAAAGAACTGTTAGGCATTGGGGTGGCGGTTACGCGAGTGGGTGTAAACGGAGTCATGGTCGGGACCGGGGATGTGTAGAGGGATTGGACTGAGCATTTGTTCAAAGTTTGGTGTGTCAAGAAGAGAAAAACTAGGGCCATACACATCGCCCCCTATACTTATACGTATATCTACTTGATAGCTGGCCGAAAGAAAATTTTCGTTTTGGAAGGTAAAGTAGTAACCCCAACTATTGACTACCTACAGTTACTACTTCGAAAGCTAAAAAGGAAAACAAAAGGTATCCCAGCATTAATTTCAATACAATCTTCCTATAAAGTAAAGGATTCGAAGTATCATTAGAATTTTCACCTTCGTTATCGCTATTGCTATCGTTGTCATTATCATTATTATCGCTATCGCTATTGTTATTATTTAGTCCGTTGTCGCCATTATCGCGGGTTCATTTTCAGAGTTCATAAGTGACAATTGCGAATACTATAACCTTTACTCCTATCTCCCTAATTTTAGAAACTTTAGCAGCCAAATAAAGATTTCACATCCAACTAGCGTGGTGGAGTTTGGGTTGTCAGAGGTTTGACAGGGTTGGGGTTATATATGCGACATATGTGAGTGTGAGTGTAGGTGATAATGTGTGTAGCCCTAGTTTTTCTCATCAAGAAATGGGAGTAATAGGCCAAATGCAGCCAGCTACTTGCTCAGTCGAGGTCAAGATTGGCATTCATTTGAGTGGGTGAGGATTGATAACCTCAAAAAACAGACTACTTACTACCGAATGCAAAAGGTAAAAAAAGAGGCAAAAGAAACTCTGGGTGTGTCCCGTAACGGATTCGAACCGTCGTCTTCCTGCAGCACGCATGTAAACGAAGATTTACCTCGCCAGGAATGTTCCCAGTTACACCAACGGGCCACACCACGGAAGAATGGTCAGTTAAGGGACCTTTTATACCGGCACTGTAAGTGTTCGAGAGTTGGGATGACGAGGAATGGGTAGGGGAGCGTCAGGTCGGAGGAAGGAGCCGCAGCTGCGGCAGGTGCGTCAGGCAAACTTGGAAGATGCGGGCAACAGACCACAGAGGGAACGACACTGTCCCTGATCCACTGGTACGGCCACTCGGTTGATGTCCAAGATCCAGTCAAATTTCGATGGGTAAGTCAATTAATGGATGGAGGGACAAGTGAACCATGATTTCGAGAACTTGCGACAACAAAGCTTTGAGGAACCAAATATCCGTTGGGGTCATTGTCGGAAATATTTGCCCGGCTGGCACCGCAGATACAGCACTGGCTTCCTGCATCTCTGCAACAAGTCCTCCAGGAACATTTAACATGCATGGCAAGAGCAAGCCGAGATGAGAAATTGGATCGAAAGGCGAAAGATCCACTCAAGTCATTGACAGAAGGAACGGACAACGATGTGGGACGTCGCCCTCTCTCAAATTGGATGCCTTCAACTCGATGACCCTTTGGTTCTGTCAATCAGATTCCTTGCTGCAATGAAACCCCTGACTTTGACACATGCTGTAAGAAAACACGCTCCAAGACGCCATGCTAAAAAAGACACGCCATGCCATCATGCACCCGCTATGCAACAAATCTGTTCCCCATGCAATAGTCCCCGCCTCCATGCACCCTGCTCAATCCATGCGACCTAAGCGTCCAGCATGCAGCCAACTCCCGTGCAAAAGCTCGCCACTCCTCCAAAAAACAACCACGAGCCTGCCCAGCCAAGAGCCCATTCCTCAAATAGACTGCCAATAAGGCCCACCCGGCTTCCCCAACCTCATCGGCCAGCAAAACACCCTCTCCTCCGGCTCCGTCCTTTCAATCCTCGGATACACCACATCCCTCAACTCGCTCTCCTTCTCCCTATCAGGCGGCAACGGCAGCCCCGTAGCCGGATCTGACTCCCTCGGCTCCCACCAATCCTGAAACCCCTCCCACTCCACCTTGAAACTCGTCACCAATCTCTTCTTCCTCCTCTGATCAGGCATTCCGCCCCACGGACAATTTTTTGTCGTTGATTCCAACCGTCAAATCCGTATACCGAAATATTCTCTCAGCCGCTACCGCCGTCTCGCGGTTTCCGCATAACAAGACGATATACCGCATGTCAGGGACTGCAGCCTCAATTTCGTAAGTAGCTCTGCCGTCCAAGATGGGAGCTTCCACCCATTTGCTCCAGCTGAAATACCGATGGCCCATGCGCTTGCGGAAGAAAGAACGGATGGCGTCGGGACCCTCGATGCGCTCGAGCCAGCCCATTGCGTAGCAGAAGCCGGAGGAGATAGGGCCGATGACGACCATGTCCCAGGACTCGGTGGTTTGATCGGCAGGGAGACGGAGATGGTGGTGGTGGTCGCGAAGTAGGAAATCGGGAAGGTCCAAGGGGGCTAGGCGAGGGTAGGGAGGGCAGATCAAGGGGCTGGTGAGGCTGGCGTAGGGGTTGGCGGCGGCGGCGGCGAGGGCGAGGCCGATGTAGCGCGGGACGCCGATGCCGTTGGAGGCTATGAAGGCGATTGCGTCAGGAGGAAATCCTGGTGGAAAGGTTAGTATGCCTACTTGATATCCTTGAGGATGGGCTGGGAATGGATATGGGGATTCTTACTCTTGCCCTTCTTGTCCATGTCCTTTTCGCTGGGTTGGTAAGGGCACAACTGCATGTTCGTGGGCTCAGCCATGAGTGTTGCGTGCGGATCGACCCATCCCGGCCACAGCACGTGGTTGGGAATGGGGTTGTTGTCCTGGTACATCGCGGCGGCTTTTGAAGGTCAAGGAAGCTGAAGTGACGATACCAATGCTTGAGCGTTGTCAAGCTTTGGTGTTAAGGGTTGGACTTGCTCTAAGAAGAGTAGAAGACTGTTGAACAGAAGAAGCCCACCACGAGAAGCTAGTTGCTCCGGTAACAGGTAACATGGAAGAGCACGATGAGGAATCACGAAAGGCGGCGCTTTGGTTTTTCCGTAACACATTATCGTGCTCATCTTGCGCACAGTGCCCGTCCTGACAGCAGCCGTTTCATCGGAGAGCGAATAAGAAGACAATGCTAGATAGGAGCTCCATTCTGTGATGGAAGAACCGCAGTTCACGATGCGCCAAGGAGGTTCAGGATGCAGCCAAGGAGGGTTTGACAGCTGTTGAGCGAGGACCCTGACGGGTACCTGGTTTTAGGGCTGAACCTGACTCACGTGGGCAGCCCTGTAGGGCTGGGCAATGTATCAGAGTTGGGACGAACCTGTCATAACCGGAGCAGTGGGTGGAGACGGGAGATAGGCAGAAAGGAGGATATCAGATTGCGGTCGATTGGACTCCGTGAATCGGAGCGGCAATGGCTCTTGGCGGCACTGACGAAGTTTGCGACATGATGATTTTGGAGGTGAACCAGCCATGAAGGCGATAAAGCTGATGCACAATGGGGCCTGGAGGGGAGCATGGTGCATTCTGGATTTACTTCTCTTCTTAGGGAGCAGCTGGACCATTTCACGTCGGGTTAACGTGGAAGGTATTGTAGTACCGCATGACAGTGGCACATTCCAACCGGATCTGGCACGAAGTGGGAGCTGCCCGCGGAGTTCTGTCGCATAGCCCTGAACTCGAGGCAGACACTCGACATTTTCTCCACTTCTGACCGTATAACCACATTATCAAAAGCAACATGGACGATTTCACAGCCATATACGACAAAACAAAACATCAACATGCTATTTTTCTACACCGATGATGGGACAATTAACGAGTGTCCATGTAGATGTGAAACAAAAGATGGGCGGCTGACAAGGTGTTCGATGGCCCGTGCGCTGGTAGAAAATGGTAGGAAAAAAAGAAACAGAATGCGCCAGCCGCGAATCGAACGCGGGCCCATCGATGGCAGATGGATTTTTACCACTAAACCACTGGCGCTTTTAGTGTTGGATGCAAGTTCTTCGCAAAACCTAGGCCTATAAAGTAAGATTCCCAACCTAACCTTCCGGCAATGTTTTTTCTTTCGCTGAATCTCATTGAGAGGATATCGAGACACTCGTTTATTCTGTCTGCTTGTCTGATCATCGATGCAAATCAATTTGTACCAGACTATTGTTGAATGCGAAAAACAATTAATGGATGAAAATGCTTGGATGATTAGAAAGACAAAATGCCGACAGTGCCATATGCGAGTGGAAGGGGAAAAGAAAAAAGGAATGGTATTGCCTGCCTATGTAACGCCAAATAAACTCCTCATGTACCCATCAGGCTTAGAAGCCAAAGATTTCCCCTTAAGATATAACCCCAAACGAACATATAGCTTATTTGAAACGGAAATCAACATTGCGACCACACTACTCAGAACGGCACACCCTCCCTATGTGACCTCTTCCAGTATACCGATCCAGCCGGCAACTCCACCGGCGGCATATTCTGCACCCAACGATTACTGCTATTCAACTCCTTCGGCGACCTCCCACCCGGTAGCTCCCTCGGCCCACTAGACGGCATCTGATACCCACCCCTGTACTCCGTATTTGCTACTTGGTACACTGGCGGATACTTCACCTCTCTGCTCGTCACATTCGCATATACCGGGATCGGGTACTTGGGAGGTAACGCCTCCACTTCCTTTGCTCCGTCCTTGGGTAGAGGTATCGTGTAATCACCGCCTGTTTGATCTATCATTTCCTTGATTGAGGGGTTTGGCGAGAAGGGGAATGATGAGTTGGACGAGGAGGAGGAGGAGGATGAGGAGGATGAGGAGGATGAGGAGGATGAAGACTTGGATGTTGGCCCTGACTTTGATTCGGACTCCTTCTTTTCTTTGCGATATCTCCGTCTCAGCCAGATGACTAGGACGATAGCGATGCATATGAGCGCCAAACAGCCTACTACTCCGCCGATAATGGCACCGATGGTGTTGGGGTTGTTGATGTTGAATGTGCTGCTGTTGCTGCTGTTGGTGTTATTGGTGTTGTTAGTGTTGCCGCTGTTGATGTCGATGTCGTTGTTGCTGTTGATGTCGCCGTTGGAGCCTGAGGTTGAGGATGCAGATGCTGTGGGCTCGGAAGCGGAAGATGGTTTTGGTGAGAAAGTCGTAGAGACAGCTGGCTTGGTTGTGGAACTGGAAGTGGTGTAGCTGCTTGTTTCGTGGTGAAGGCAAGGTAGTGCTCGGTGCTAGGACTTTTGGCGCATGCGAGATATGTGAAGGGGTCGAGTCCGCTTGTTGCGGTTAGGAGAGCTGTCATGCAATAGTCGTTGCTGGTTTACGTTCAGTCGAGTCAGCACGCCGAAAGGCAATCTCGCGTTTCTCGAAGGGTTGTACATACCAAGTAATGGTTGGTAACGAGGAGTCATCGGTAAAACCACATCCCTTGGAGCAGGCATGGCTGTCGACACAGCTCCCCGGCAACCCGCACTTTTGGACTGGAGCCGAAGTTGGACAGAAACCCCAGATATCGTTCATAATATCGACTTGCGCAGCATAGCCCGCACTTGCTGTCTTTGGTTTTGAAGAGTCACCACCTAGGAAGATGGTTGACATGGCCGGTGGAAGGAAAGGCGTGATTGCTTGTCGTCTTTCTTGTCCTGCCCCTTTGTTGCGCCATCCTCCTCCCAAGATCGCAAACCCAACCGACCGTCCTATGCCCGATAGGACCAACAGAAAAATGAACAAAGGAAACATTGGTATTGGGGGTATATTATTGACGCATTGGAGTAATAAATGGCGAAAACCCGAGAAACAACAGATACCACCGGACGGTCTGCAAGCCAGGCAGACGCCGTGTTTGCGAAGAGAGAGGTCGTTGAAAGGATGGGAAAAACGAGGATGAACAGACACAAAAGTGCAAGTGAACGAAACATAGGGATTGAACCCTTTGCCAACCTCGCAGAGACCATACCACGAAGTTGATGCCGGTCATGGCCCTAGGCCCATGGGCAATGTGGCCAGGTATCATGGCGCTGTTTCATGAACTTGGTCGGCCCATACCCGGTTGTTTGCTCTGTTGCCGCCATTGTAACAGAACTTTGGAGACTCGAGATCTCCAAGTTGGAGTTCAACGCTTCAGCCGCCCCGTTCAAGTGCCATCCGCCGTGCTGTCGATGTTTTGGGAAAATGGTTGGTGATATCCGCCGACGCTTGTGGTGTTGGGTCCACCGGTGCAAGCATTAGGGGGAACTGTTAGTGCTAACATGCCCCGGAACTGGTCGCCTAACGGTAGCACCTGCATGAGCACAGGGGATTGGGCGAATCGCAGTCGCTACCGGATGGCCGGCACTGCCAAGGGCGGTTAACTGCTGAAGCCAACGGGATGCCGCGACTCTGTTATCCGCTGGCGGCAACGCTGCGATGTATCCTCGCGTGTCTTTTTCCTGCGCCAAACCGTCGAGCATTTCTATGTTTGCTCGTTTCGATTTCGGTTGTTTGTCGTTGTTGCATCGTGGTCCTGTTTCGGGAATAGCTAATGTTGCTCATGAGCGGCGATGATCAAGATCTCTCAGAACTGGAAATGTTTTTCTTTATGGTTTCCCGTCTTCTGGCGACGGCCTGGGGATTTTGTCTCCTTGACAACACAAGTGCGCTTCGTTAGCACCAACGAACTGAGCGAGCTGGTATCATAAGTCCCAACAGCTTTCACCTTCGCCTACCCGCGGCTCACGATCGGACAGCTAGCCTTGCGATTTTACTGGTCTGTTCAGAAAGCGTCATCCGCGACAAGCGCTCCTTCTCTTCCGAGTGGCCGGCTCACTGTTGGCGTGATATCCATATGCAAGTCATTGCGAGGAAGGAGCCTGTCAGAGACTCAGAATAGCGCGAGTCAGTAAGCACTGAGGAAAGTGACAGCCCAATAGACGCGTTGGGCACCGCATTCGCCATGGGTCGGGCAGTTCTCTTTGCTTGGCAAGCTGCCTTCTCTCTCTTCATCATCCTCAGTCTCTACTGGTACCTCGGCCATGACCAGCTAGCCAATGTGCACACACCGCCATCATCCTTTCCGAGCCATGGTGCCAGCAACCATCAGGACGGAAACCAGACGCATTTGCCGGTCTCTAGCACTCCTGACAAGACCCTACTGACACATACGAGAACAACTGTCTCAGTCATCCACACGCCTTCAGCAGCCCCAACCCTGGCCGTCATCAAGCCGGCTCCCGGCAAGACATCTAGCAATGGTAAGCGGACTCCCCTCTCTTTGACCCCGTGTTGATAATGTTTACTGGATACTGCGCGTCAGTCGCATAGCCAGGACGTACACACCTTATGCAGGTGCTAACACGGTCTGTACAATGCAGATGTTCTCCCGCTGTCAAATCGCACCGCTTACGTCCATACAATAATTCACCCCGAGGACAAGACACTCCCACGCCTCGAATGTCCTCCCTTTAACTCTTCCCGATATGACCATCTCCAAGCCAAAGAAGCCGGTGGCGAAGTCAACCGGCCGACAATCCAGTACTTCTTTGCCCTCAACATCCGCGAGCGTCTCTCACTCCTGCCTCGTCTCATGGGGAGCATAGTCGAAGCTATCCGTTTCCTCGGACCCGAACATTGCGTCTTATCTATCGTCGAAGGCAATTCGGACGATGGCACTGCCGAAGTTCTCGAGGCCCTCCGTTCGGAGCTCGACGCTCTCCACACGCCATACTACTTCAACTCGAGCGTCATAAACCCGAAGAAGGGGCCTCGCATCGAGAAGCTCGCTGAACTCCGAAACCTAGCACTAGCGCCTATGCTCGACCCTCAAAATGCCCATCTTTACGACCACGAGACAAACACGACCGTGATCTTCCTCAACGACGTTGCCGTGTGTCCGGATGATATACTTGAGTTGGTTCATCAGCGTCGATTCCTGGGTGCTGACATGACCTGCGCGATGGATTGGACATACGCGGGCAAGGATCCGACATTTTATGATGTCTGGGTCGCACGGACTCTTGCTGGAGGGGACTCATTCTTCGAGATTCCATCTGACGGCAACTGGAACTCTGCCTGGAACCTCTTTTGGAACGAGCCGACCGCGCGACAGCTTTTCTCCGCCAAGCAACCATTCCAGGTGTTCTCGTGCTGGAATGGAGCTACGGCTTTCACGGCAAAGCCCTTCCTTGAAAACAAGATCAAGTTTCGAGCACCGAGAGAGGGCGAGTGCATGCAGGGAGAACCGCAACTTCTTGGCAAAGACCTGTGGTGGCATGGATACGGCAAGATTGCCGTTGTGCCGACTGTGAACCTGGAGTACTCGGATGAAAAAGGGAAGCAGATCAAGGACGCGAAGGGGTTTACGAGCCAGCTTGTGGGCGGTGAAGGCAACGAAGATGCGATAATTGACTGGAAAATAAGTCCACCGGAGAAGGTAAAGTGTATGCCAGACTACGCGCATCAGTATTTCGAAATGTGGAACGCGACCCAGCGGGGGGATAACACGGAGAAAACAACATCGAAACCCAGCTGACTTGGCGACGCGGATCCGGTCACGGCCCCACATACGGCCCTACATACCGTTTAGAGCAGGAGACTGCGGAGTCGGGCCGCCGGCACTCTCGGGCCAATGTGGGGCTACTCCCGGAATCCGACCCAGATACCTCACAGAGTCTGTGCCGGAGAGCTAGAGTCTATATCGCCATCTGCTTCAAATCTCCTGTGGTGTGGATAGTGTTGTTCAGCGTTGGAATGTTTCTGGAGCTACATTCTCACCTCCCACCCACGGTCGAGAATGCCGGAGAGACGGCTTACACCGAGATGGTACGGGGACTGGAATACCTATGCCGTTGACTAACGGCCAAGCAATGTCTCAACACCAATCCAACCTCTATCCAGGCATGGACTCATCAAACAACGATCGACATCAACGTTGAGAATGATGTCTCTGCACGTCCGGTTGGAACGCGAGGCTCGTCACCACTTTTGTTGCTCGAGAATCGCATTGGCGATGCACAACAGACGATGAGTATAAGAGCTGATCTACAGGCTGTCTTCAAATCCCCACTCTTGTTTTGAGGTTCGTGGATCCTGGTTGCACTGGTTGATACGTACCAGTCCACAAGCTCAACCGTCGTTCAACACCTTTCTCTACGCCCGTCCATATCATCAAACTATGAAGTACAGCGCAGCTCTCGCCCTTGCGGGTGCTCTCGCCTCCGTCCAGGCCCAAAGGATTGACACTGGCTTCCTCACTGGGCCTGAGCTCACAGCTCTCGCCGGCGGCAACTTCGCGTGGGGTGACATCGAAATCGGCGACACCAGCATCATGTCCCTCGAGTACATCCTTGCCGAGCTCGACGCCATCACTGGCGACTATCCCTACAACTACTACTACCCCTACGCCTACTACCCTCCTCCCCTGACCATCCCGCGTCCCATCCCTGGGTATCCCGGCTTGGTCAACAACGTCAACATCCTCATGCCTAGCGCAACCATTCAGTACGACGCTCTCACCCGCCTAGCCAATTGCTCTACACCGGGTGGACGCATCGAGTATCTCATCGACGCTACCGGTCCGGGAGTCGAAACCGACGTCAGGACCCAAGTCACCTTCATCTTCCCCCTCTCCGTCTACGGAAAGAACTGCCAGTTCATATTCTTCCTCGGCAACACCAGCACCGTCACCGGCTCGGACAGATTCGTCGTGCTACAGAACGAAACTCCCCTTCAAAGCTGCCCGACCACTGAGCCCCCGACCATCCCGAACGTCGAGCAGGACATCATCGGCACCTACCAAGCCAAGTTCGCCGATCTTGCCCAGGTTGTCACGTCCACTGGCACCTTCCTGGTCGGAACCAACTCTGCATGCCCGGCTCCTAGCACCCTCCTGACGGATGGAGTGACCCCGAGGTTGTGCGTACCACTATTGCGTGGAACGGAATCTTTTCTGGTCCGGTCATCAGGTACACGACGCCCCCGGCGGTTGTGACCCCTCCGACCACCACCGATCCCGACAACACTGATCCCGACAACAACGAGCCCGGCGCTCCCATTCCTTGACAGGCTTTTAGCTTGTTGTGTCTTTCTCTTGGCCTATGCAGGATGCAAGAGGTTTAACCGTGGCTGTTAAAGTCCGAGGTTTCTGCTATGTATCCGACTCAGGGTATCAGTGACGAATAGGTTCTGTTTCAGTTGTTCTTATGGTGTGGAAGGACGAAGCTTGTTTGTGGTCAGTGGTCAGTGGTCAGTGGTCAGTGGCAGGTTGGATAGTAATGGAAAATAGGTAACAATGCAAGCTGGATTTTTGGCTTAATCACAATATTGTCCAATGTCATTTGTGTTTTGCCTGTCAAATTGAAAAGGCGAGTATCGTATGTGTCCGTTAAGCGAGACTTACACAGCGATTAACGCTATAAAATATCAATTCCCCTCGCTCTTCATCATCCAAACTTCCTGATCCAAACCATGCTGAATCCAATATTGTAGCTATAAGCACTATGATTGCTTCCTATTCCTTTCCTATCCAAACTCCTTCTGAGGCTTCATTGCCTCTTGGTCGCCCTCTACTCTTCTTCTGATTCCTCTTCTTCTGATTCCTCTTCTTCTGATTCCTCTTCTTCTGATTCCTCTTCTTCTGATTCCTCTTTTTCTGATTCCTCTCCTTCTTCGTTATTGTCTTCTTCGTCTTGATCCAAATGATGATAGGGATGAAACGCACCGACTCCCCACATGATATACCAATCAGGACTTGTCATGGCAAATTCCAAATTCAGGCCCGGCCCCTCCTCATCGGCAAGCAATTCTACCAACCTGATTGCGTAAGAGGCCTCAGCCCGTCCTGCCACATCCCCAATATTATTTTTCTCCTCTTTCTGGTTGGTTGCCTCCTAGTGAATCTCAAACCAGTTCTCCTTCACATCCGTGAGGTCCACGCCAGCAGTCACCATCTCAAAGGCCAACTGCGGCTTCGACACAATCACTTCCCTCAGCTTCGCAGACAAGTACTTCTGGTCCGCCTTATCCAGCAGCGCCGGCAGGCTTGCGGGGTCCTTGATCGCGGGCTGTATCAAGTTGAACAATAAGTGGCCGACGAACCTGTAGGGGCAGTATTCGTATTGCACATTTGGTGTGTCTTGGTCTTTTCTCAAAGCTCTTTCCTCGCTTTCGGAGCGCTGAATGGCCAGGTCCAAAGCCGTCAGCCCTTCCGAGTTTGCGGTGCGAAGGCGTGGGTGGCCCACTCCATATCCGATGAGCACGAGACATTTCTTCAGGGCTGTCCACTGCCACAATTCTTGGAGTGTCTCTATGAACATGGGCGTGTAACCAGGTTTCCATAACGTTCCCACCATCTGCCTGGTCGCTCCGTCATAGTCCGCATGCATCATTACCTTTCTCCGGTGCCCTCCTGAAGGAGGTTGGGATGTGACTGCCTCGTGCAACGCCGTCGTCCATTTTTGCCTCGACCCCGAGCGGGCAGTCGCGTCTGCGGATCGATTCACTAATAGCCAGAGCACCAGATCAGAGGGATTGCTCCCTCATGTGCTGCTATTGCCAGCGGATGGCGAACTTCCACCTCGAGTGGGTCGATATCATCTTGAAGGGAGTGATTGCCACAGTCTACAGAAGTAACACCCGGCGGTGAAAGTTTGAGTATGGTCCGTATCAAATCCTGACGTTGTAATTCCCAGCGGTCCGGGGATACCGCTTCCACAGTCCAAGGCGACATGACGAAGAACGTCTCGAACGAGCGAGCGAGCACCTGCAAAGGGTAGTTCATGGTGCCGGTGTGCGGAAACAAGAAGCGGAAGCCGTGTTTTGGCGCATGTCTCGTGAAGAGGTACTTGGCAGACACAAGACAGCCGAACGAGAGGGCGAGCGTGAAAGGGGTTTGGGAGTACTTGTCACGGCTTTCGAGGTCCGCGCCCTGGGCTATCAGAAATCCGATGCCCGACAAATCGTGGTCCTCGGAATAGTAGCGGAGAACGGCATAGTGCAGTGGCGTCCGGCCTTTGCGGTCGCGTGCGTTGATGTCTATCTCTGCTCTTCGTGAAAAGCCTGGTGAGAGAAGGTAAGAAAGAATATCGTAACGGCCCTTCAAAGCTGCGGTGTGTAGGATCGTGATGTTTTCTTGAGATGGCTGATCGGCTGATACAATTAGGGACGCTTTTGCATGAATCAAGTCCTTCACAATCTGTAGCGAATCATTATGGACTGGTGTTGCGTCGATGGGAGGCCGGTTTTGGTATACCCCTTCTCCCTGGCAAATTGTCAAATGCAAAGCGGTCCAGTGCGCTGGATCTTGCCGCATGTTGGGCGCACTGACGGCCCGATAGTCGACAGGGTCGTAGAAGCATTTGCAGAGGTTGGTGACAGGGTCGTCGACGTGGGCGCGAACCTGAGGCTTTGTGAGTAAGTATTGGACGATGTGGGCATGAGAGAGCATGGAGGCTACGCCAAGGGGGTGGCAGTGGACACGGTCGGTGGAACAGCGCTTGTTGTGTACCGGCATGTAACGCGAGATTTTCCAGATGTCGGGCCAGATTATTACGGGGGATGATTCCAAGAGCCGACGCGTGGTAGGGAGGTCTCCGTCCTGGAGGGCTCTGGCGAGGTCTGGGTATTCATCTATTAGAGGCGGTCTCCGTCCCCATCTCGGGATGTCGTCCATGCTGGATGGGTTGATATGGTTAAGGTTGAGTTAAGGTTTGGCGGATATTGACAAGAAGACACCCTGGCAAGAAGGCGTGGGTTGTTGTCTATTGATGCTGTTGAAGTGTATGCAAAATGGGGGTGAAAAGAACTGTTCGAACAAGAGTTGGTTAAATTGGATTAAGGGGTAAAATTCAGCGCTCGTGGCCCAGGGTGTCGGGATTTATGTACATAGTTCCCCTCACCCCCAACCAAGCTTTCCAATTAGTCATGAGTTCCGTGGTCGGCAACGTCCGGTCTTCCTTCTTTTCCTCCAGTCTTTCTTCCCTATCCCGCTGAGTTCAACCCAGTCGTGACCACTTCTGTTTCAAGGCCCGTGGCACGCACCTTCCATTTGGATTGGTTGCCCTTCTCATGGCGGGGCATTTTGGGAAAGTGGCTACCGGGACAGAAGTCTCTCGGTCCCGGCATGAAGCTTGCTGAGGATAGTGTATTCTGAAGATGTCCGTCGTAACGAAAAGACTGACCATGCTATTGCGTCCGAAACCACTAGCAACGGAACGCTGAGGGACGTTCTGTGTCTGTGTAAGATGCAGTGAAGGCCAATGTCAAACATGTAGGAACAGGTTGCACAATTAACGTGACTATCCCATGTGGCTCAACATCACAGGATCTGGTGGTACTGTGGGGGAGTAACGTGTTGATCAAGACGGTTGTTACCCACAGAAACCGCAGTCGCGACCAGTCACAAGGAAGAATGTGGCACCTCAGGGAGTTGGAGGGTCTTGCGGTGTTAGGTCAACGTGATGTTCATAAGGTGAATAACATACCCCTATATCTACACCCTCGACGCATGCTTTTCCTCCATCATACTAATCATCCCATTCTCTCATTCCTATTCATTTCGGTGTCATCGCAAGTCCCCATTCTCTCTTCCAGCCATCTTATCATCATCTTTTCAGCCTACCACCGTCGTGTCCCGATGATCATCCCTTCAGAAATTACGACTCTTCGTTTCCCAACCTAAGAGAACCATCCCAAATGAGAATAAGCGTTAGAGTTCCCCGACTTGTCCGTAGGTGTGTTGTAGGAAGTCGAGCCACTGCTCGTCGTGCTCGTTCCAGAACTTCCTATCCCGGTGAAAGACGTGCCTGAGGACGACGTGCTAGTGCTGCTGGACGTTGTCGAGCTATTGGAGCTTGTATAGGTGGAGGAGCCGGTGGAATACGGTGAAGACCCCCCGAGAAAACTGGTGTTGGTGGTTGTGGAAGACATTGCCTTATTTAGGGCGAGAAAACTATGTAAAGGGTTGTTGCCGAAGTAGGTAGCCGGGAGTTGTCAAGATGTTTGTTGTGTGGAGGTCGATCCGAAGTGGAAGATGTCTGTGTTCTGCTCCAGAAGTTTGTATCGGCCGGTTGTCCATTGGGCATATATACAATGTCATGACTCCATGACTGCCACTGGTAGAACAGTGGAAGTGACTTGAGGTCACTGACCGCGGGGGACTGACACGGCGCCATCATTGAGTCCTAAACAAGCATGCCTTAGTGGTTGTTGAGCGAACAAATCATGGCTCGTTCTATAGCCATAGTTGTAATTTTGAAGAGCAGTGGACATGGAATCCGTTTGTCATGGTGCTGTTGGTCCTCACTCGGCGTCAGGAATGGAGACGCAGAGAGATACAGGACTGGCATCCAGAAGGTGATCGCATGGCCCTCATCAGGACGTTAGATCCTGAGCGTTCGGCGGGGACATGATGAGAGAAAGCATGCGTCGTGTATATAGTGACTTCCTCTATGCTTCAACGGCGTGCATCCCGGTGTGGAGTAGACAACGCTGTTGATTTCTCCCCGGACAAGACCGAAAT